ACCATATTGGCTTTCAGTACAAAATGAGGTTCCCAACAAATTTCGTGTGATAGGTAGCCCACAGGCCAGCCCGATTCGCTTTAGCAGGTTTGTTTGGGATATTCGATTACTCACAATCTGTTTTGCAGGAAAACTTCAGGCCTTCGTGCCCTCTAAGGGCCGTAGGCTAGACAGCTTCAGGCCTTTTCGCCGTAAAGTTTTCAGGGCTTAGGGGCATTGGCTTCAGCTCAGGTCCTCCCCCCCCCCCCCCCGTGAAATCCCCTAAAGCCTTCCGGTGGCATGTCCTTCGAGGGTCCCAGATTGGTCGGGGGAGGTGAACGATCTGGAGAAAGGCATGTGGATGCATTTCTGTCTCTGCTTTGGGTCACAGTCACGCACTCTTCGGCATCTACGTCGACATTGTGGCTCGTTGCTGCATGTGTGCTCTTGAGTTCGCGTTATGCGGCTTTGGCCAGGATGCATCTAAGCATCTACGACGCACTTCTGACTGGACTCAGGGACAACTCAGGGGCACACGGTTCCATGGCACTGTTCGAACTCGCCGCCTGATCAGATTATAATACCCCCTGCACAGACTTGGAAATCGCAGTGGCACGCCTCGGTTCGATCTAAATTGCTGCAGACATGTTCAACCCATCCCGCTGCCCATCCTTTCATTCTGCCTTATTCTTGCGCTTACGCCCGTACTCCTCTCAAACAGAAAGGGCCATTGGGGGCAGTTTTCGTGCATATGCAAGGCTTAATAAAAGCACCAGAATTAACCACCTATATGATGCATGACACGCATGCAGACACACGTCTCTGCCTCACCAGAGGGCGGCATATCTCCAGCCATACCTCGGCAAAAAAAACATGCCGCTTAACATTGGTTAAGTTTACTTCTGACATCTTCTGACATATGCTTAACCTAATTAAGTCACTGGATGAGGGTTTGAAGCCGGACGGTCGGGGATGGAGCCGAGTGGTGGGGCTGGGTCCCCCCACCTGCCACACTCTGTCTGCACCAAGAACTTACTTATATCGGTTCGGTTCTGTAGGCGACACGATATTTGTGCTGGGTGCTTGTCGAGACGCTCCATTTTCGTTGTTCCGGGCTTCAGCAATTTGAGATTCAAGTTCAACAAAAATCTGCAGAAGTGTTGCTGGAGCCATTGTGGGGGGCAGATCTTTGCCCCACAACCCCTCCGGCATCGGATCGCGTGAAAGTAATGGGAGTAAAGCCATGTAAAGCCCTTCTTTTGTAGCATCTAAAAAGATCCGATGGGAGGAGCCATCTTGGAAGTTTCTCCTTTTGTCTTTCAGCCGGCACGTTGACAGTTGTGACCGTGACTATTTTGTCGCTCAAAGGTGCTTTCGGACAAGGGCCTTCAAGGGCTTTGGAGGGCCTGCAGGGCTTAGGTGGCTTAGGTGTTTGAGGTAGCTTGAGGCGGTTTTCAGCGGCTTGAGCCTCTTGGGAGCGGTTTGAAGGTTTGAAAAATGTCCTCCAACTCAGGCACGCTCGAACCTTGAAGCTCCATGTTTGGCAAACTTCTGTGGTCTTTCATAACTTTTGAGGCTCGGCTCAGCGAGGATTGCAGACTTTCTCGGGTCTATGGAAAAGCACGTGCGAACGCATCTTTCGATAGTCTCATCTACTGCTGTTTGATCACATGTCTGCTTTGAATGTTACATGCCTGGCGGCACGGAGGCTCAGGTCTTTGGGAGTGTGTTGCAAGACGTTGGCGACTTTCGCCGTCTACTTCTCAAGTCTGCCTGACGTTGTCGATGTCGCTAGGGTGGATTGAGCCTTTTCATGTTTTCAATGCTCGCACATTGTTTGTCGATGCCTGGTCGTGGTCATTCGTGAGGCATGGAGAATGTAGTGGAGAATATCTCCGGATATCTCCGGGTACCCTTGGCAAGATGTCTTGGCCTCGACGTTGTGTATATTTTTGGTTGCCAAGGATATCGAGAACTCTGCCGACTTTTGCTTGTTGTGTCTTGACCGGATAGGCTTGGGAGCAGCATTGGCCGGGCCACTGTCAGCAAGTGCATGATACTGCATGTGAATGCATGCGACGTGTCTTGGGCCAAAACCCGCGCCTGGACGCAGAGTATTGTAGGAAGAGCTACTCAGCTACTCTTCAGGCATGCCGCTGTCGCTGTCCAAGCGGTACATTTGCCGCCGCATTTGCTCCCGGGTTTGCTCCCTGAGAAAGGGAAGCACACCGATGTCTGTCACTACATGCAGCATGGATTGCATCTGTAACACCTGGGTCAGACAACTGGGCCAAACACTTGACACCTGAAGTTCTCAAATGCTCTCGGACGCTCTCAGTATCCCAGTGTTGCACCTCATTTCAGAAGTCAGCTGCCGCCGCCTGTTTTTTTGCTTTTTGTTGGGGGGGTGGGAGGGGGGATCGGGGGGGGGTTGCGGAGGGTGTGGAGTACAGGGCAACGCTTCCACACCATGTTGTCAGTCGCCAAAAGCTTATTCGTCCCTAAATGTAATTCATCCATTGTCGGAGCTGAGTGGCGGAGTGGAGTTCGTGGCAACAACAGGAGTCAAGCGCGTGGCCTCAGAAATGCTCCAGCACAAGTTCGCCGAGATCACTCCAAGATCCAAAACGGCTCGCTATGGCATTATGGCTCCCTCAACCCCGCGACTCGCTGGCAGGACCCATGGCGCACCCACCGATTTCGGCAAGGACACCCACAGCTCATCTGATTTTTCTTGGAGCGGATCTTCCGGCATACGTCCTCCGACAAGCTAAGATTGTCTTGCACGCGCAGTTGCATGAGAACAAGCTGTCCTGTCTCCTCCACCTGTGATGCTTCCTCCAGACAGTTCATGTATTCACACATATTCACACCTTCCTGAAGTTTTTACACCGTCACATGCCTCCGCTTTCCCTTCAAGCTCCCGCTTGATTTTCGAAAAGCTCTTAGCATGCCCTAGACGGAGAAAGCCGGCATGGTACATGAGTTCAGGGCGCGTGCACGTGTGGAAACCTCTGCGTAGTGTACTGCTTTGCTGCATGTTGTTCTTCGGATCCGAGCTGCGCGGTCAGCTGCCAAATCGGCCTGCTCAATGCAATGCATGCCAGATGTAGGTACAAGTGTACAACCCGTCCATGAATTCGCTTCGCAGCCTTGCTGGATCTCGGCGAGGAAGGTACCACAGAGCATGCCTTGCAGGCAAACAATGACACAAGCATGCACTCCCACAGGCTGCTTCACTATATACACTCCGCTACCTGCTTTTGAGGACGACAACAGTGGACGTCCCCTCTCCGAAACCACACTGCATCAAAATCATGGCCCTGATGAAAGATGTTGAACCCTTGAGATGGCTGAGTCTTGACATGTCAGGCTCTGCCATGTGTGCCAGCCTCAACCCAGCTTGCCTGCCCCAGGAAACCAATCCTGACAAGACGGAGCTTGTGTATTAATTACAGAAACACATCATTGCCATGGAAGCACCAGTTTGATAGTTGTTCTGGCTTTGCATTCACCAACTCTGCCATACTATGTGCCAGCAACGCTTCAGGTATTGACTCACCGATTGACTCATGACCCCCAAGGGTCATATGCTTCCGAGGCATGCCATACCACGAGAGCGCAAGAAACGCCCCCATCCTTCAAAGAGTTGCTGCCATGGTGCTCATAGGCTCCCTCTGGCTTGTCATCCTCAGGCTCACCTGGTGAGGTTAGGCGAGGTATGTGAGGTAAGGCCGTTGAGCTCGAAACGGCTCTCGAACGACTGGATCGCACTTTCGTGGGAGCGTACCTGATTTTGTGCCCAGGCTTCGACTGCTGAGGACTCCCTAATATTCCCCAATATTCTCACCACCACCACCAACCCCGCCCCCATGGCTCAGGCCTTCATACTCTATCCATCTCTTTCGGTAGCCTCACTGTGACAGTTGACGCATGTCTCGTATTGGCTTGAAGCGTACAAGGGCCTGAACGGATAACCTTGGAGCAGCAACTCGCTTCATCAGGTCTGCATGCCGTGCAGCTATAGAGGGGCACAGCTACGGCACCCAGAAGAAGGAAACCTCCGAGAGATGCAACCTTGCAAGATCTTTCAGGCTTGCAGGGTCTCTCCAAGTTGGCTTCATGTCGGACACCTAGCTGCCCTAGCAGGCATCTGCCGATACCCGTATCTGAGATCCACTCGGCGGCCGTCCCTGCTGGCGAAGTTGCTCCATTCCCCAGCAGCAGTCCATCACTAGTCCCATCACCTCTGCAAGATCAGAACTCATGGCATCTCTCGCAAAGTTGCTGCTGCGAAGCCGTGGCCTGCAGTCACAGTGGAGGTTTCGGTCAAAGTAGTAGAAGTGTGTGTGAGTGATGACGTTGTGGAGCTGGTTGTAGAAATTGTGGACACTGATGTAGTAGTAGTGGTGTAAGACGTGGTTGTAGTTGAGCTTGTTGTCGTCGTTGAGGAATTTGTGCTTGAGGTCGACGTAGTTGAAAAAGTTGTACTTGAAGTCGAAGTGGTAGTCGACGAGTTCGTGGTTGAGGTCGTCGACGTCGACGTCGATGTCGACGATGTCGACGACTGAACACACGCATAAGCAGTTTGGAAGTACAGGGCGAAAGCTTAGGACCCAGAGGATTGCGCTTACTTGGTGCACTCTCGTTTCGGCATACGCCCTCACGCAAGCGCTATCAGGTGCTCGCGGAAAACGAACACGCGACATCTCCTAAGTGGCGAAAGCTGACGACACCTGACGACACTCTGGCTCAGACCTGTCTATTGCAAAAATCTGAGGCGGACCTTTTGTGAAAGCATCCCGGTGTCTCTCGTGGTCTCTCTCAGTATACCGTCCCGACTCCCGACCTTCATCTCGCTGTCTGGTGCACCATTGAGATCCACTAGGCATGCTCTGCTACTCCCAAACTTCCCGCGACACGAACTACGAGTAGGACTAATCTCGTCACCCAGATACCTGGGCTGAGATGGCAGCATTACCGGTAGAATAAGAAGAACGCAGCTTAGAAAGAAGTGGAATTCATGCCTCCGTCGTCGACGACGTTGATGATGCAGACGTCGTCGTGGTGGAGTATGAAGTTGTTGTGGTTGAAGTTTTGGTAGTTGTAGAAGAGCTCGAGCTCGAACTTGATGTAGTGGACGTTGAGAATGTTGAAGACGTGCTTGTGCTGGAAGTTGCAGTTGAAGACGAAGTAGTGGAGGTGGATGACGAGGATGATGTGCTGGTTGCGCTGGTTGACGAAGAAGATGACGATGTGCTACTGCTGGAGGACGTCGTGGAAGATGAGGATGAAGTGGACGTGGAGCTTGTGGAGCTGGTGCTTGAGCTGGTAGAGGAAGACGTCGAAGAACTGGATGTTGATGTCGTCGTGCTGCTCGAGCTACTCGATGTGCTAGATGTAGATGTGGATGAGGAACTCGTCGACGATGACGTTGAAGTAGTCGATGAAGTCGTAGATGACGTGGAGGACGTAGATGTGCTGGATGTAGACGACGAGGAAGAGCTGGTGGAAGACGTCGACGTGGAAGTTGATGAACTAGACGAGGTCGAAGAAGTACTGCTGCTTGTGCTGGTCGCGGAGGTGGAGGACGTAGAGCTCGACGTCGTAGTGCTGGATGATGTCGAAGTGCTGCTGCTTGTTGTGCTTGTTGAAGATGATGAGGTTGTGGTGCTGCTCGAGCTTGACGACGTGGATGATGTGGTAGACGTGGAAGATGTGGAGGTTGACGTCGTAGTGCTGGATGACGTTGAAGTGCTGCTACTTGTTGTGCTTGTTGAAGATGAAGAGGTTGTGGTGGTACTCGTGCTGGACGACGAGGATGATGTGGTAGAAGTGGAGGATGTAGAGGTCGACGTCGTAGTGCTGGATGACGTTGAAGTGCTGCTACTTGTTGTGCTTGTTGAAGATGAAGAGGTTGTGGTGGTACTCGTGCTGGACGACGAGGATGATGTGGTAGAAGTGGAGGATGTAGAGGTCGACGTCGAAGTGCTGGATGACGTCGAAGTGCTGCTGCTTGTTGTGCTTGTTGAAGATGAAGAGGTCGCTGTGGTACTCGTGCTGGACGACGTGGACGACGTGGTGCTAGACGAAGTAGTGGTTGAGCTGGAAGATGTGGTGCTGGACGACGTGGTGCTTGAGCTAGAGGAAGACGAGCTGCTGCTGCTTGTCGAAGATGTGGTGGATGTAGAGGACGACGAAGAGCTAGTTGAAGACGTGCTGGAGCTCGTGGATGATGACGTGGACGACGTGGAAGATGTGGTCGTGGTAGTTGTGGACGATGAGGAAGAACTGGTAGAAGACGTCGATGTGGACGTTGATGAAGTTGACGACGTCGAAGATGTGCTGCTGCTGGTGCTTGTCGTGGACGTGGAAGATGACGAGGTCGACGTCGTGGTGCTGGATGATGTCGAAGTGCTGCTGCTTGCTGTGCTGGTTGAAGATGACGAGGTTGTTGAAGTAGTCGTGCTGGACGATGTGGATGACGTCGTGGAAGTGGAGGATGTAGAGGTCGACGTCGTAGTGCTGGAAGACGTCGAAGTGCTGCTGCTGGTCGTGCTTGTTGAAGATGAAGAGGTTGTGGTGGTACTCGTGCTGGACGATGTGGATGACGTGGTGCTGGTCGAAGATGTAGAGGTCGACGTCGTAGTGCTGGAAGACGTCGAAGTGCTGCTGCTTGTCGTGCTTGTTGAAGATGAAGAGGTTGTGGTGGTACTCGTGCTGGACGATGTGGATGACGTGGTGCTGGTCGAAGAGGTAGTTGAGCTGGAAGACGTCGTGCTGGACGATGTGGTGCTTGAGCTAGAGGTCGAGGTTGCAGTGCTGCTAGAAGATGAGCTGGAAGTGCTCGTGGTGGTCGTCGACGTACTGGAAGTAGAAGACGTTGTTGTGCTTGACGTGCTCGTCGAAGACGTGCTTGTTGTGGTGGAGGAGCTCGTGCTCGTGGTGCTTGAAGTTGAAGACGAGGATGAAGTGGACGTGGAGCTTGTGGAGCTGGTGCTTGAGCTGGTAGAGGAAGACGTCGAAGAACTGGATGTTGATGTCGTCGTGCTGCTCGAGCTACTCGATGTGCTAGATGTAGATGTGGATGAGGAACTCGTCGACGATGACGTTGAAGTAGTCGATGAAGTCGTAGATGACGTGGAGGACGTAGATGTGCTGGATGTAGACGACGAGGAAGAGCTGGTGGAAGACGTCGACGTGGACGTTGTTGAACTAGACGATGTTGAAGAAGTGCTGCTGCTCGTGCTGGTCGTGGAGGTCGACGTTGTAGTGCTTGATGTGCTTGTTGTGCTTGTGGAAGATGAAGTGGTTGTTGTGGTACTCGTGCTGGAAGACGTGGACGAAGTGGTGCTAGACGAAGTGGTGGTTGAGCTGGAAGATGTGGTGCTGGACGACGTGGTGCTTGAGCTAGAGGAAGACGAGCTGCTGCTGCTTGTCGAAGATGTGGTGGATGTAGAGGACGACGAAGAGCTAGTTGAAGATGTGCTGGAGCTAGTGGATGATGACGTGGACGACGTGGAGGATGTGGTCGTGGTAGTTGTGGACGATGAGGAAGAACTGGTAGAAGACGTCGATGTGGACGTTGATGAAGTTGACGATGTCGAAGATGTGCTGCTGCTGGTGCTTGTCGTGGACGTGGAAGATGACGAGGTCGACGTCGTGGTGCTGGATGATGTCGAAGTGCTGCTGCTTGTTGTGCTGGTTGAAGATGACGAGGTTGTTGAGGTACTCGTGCTGGACGATGTGGATGATGTGGTAGACGTGGAAGATGTGGAGGTTGACGTCGTAGTACTCGATGATGTCGAAGTGCTGCTGCTTGTTGTGCTTGTTGAAGATGATGAAGTGGTGGTAGTACTCGTGCTGGACGATGTGGATGATGTGGTAGACGTGGAAGATGTGGAGGTTGACGTCGTGGTGCTCGACGACGTCGAAGTGCTGCTGCTTGTTGTGCTTGTTGAGGACGATGAGGTGGTGGTAGTACTCGTACTGGACGATGTGGATGACGTTGTGGACGTGGAGGATGTAGAGGTCGACGTCGTAGTGCTGGAAGACGTCGAAGTGCTGCTGCTTGTTGTGCTGGTTGAAGATGACGAGGTTGTTGAGGTAGTCGTGCTGGACGATGTGGATGCCGTCGTGGAAGTGGAGGATGTAGAGGTCGACGTCGTAGTGCTGGAAGACGTCGAAGTGCTGCTGCTTGTTGTGCTTGTTGAAGACGACGAGGTTGTTGAGGTAGTCGTGCTGGACGACGTGGATGACGTCGTAGAAGTGGAGGATGTAGAGGTCGACGTCGTAGTGCTGGAAGACGTCGAAGTGCTGCTGCTGGTCGTGCTTGTTGAAGATGAAGAGGTTGTGGTGGTACTCGTGCTGGACGATGTGGATGACGTGGTGCTGGTCGAAGAGGTAGTTGAGCTGGAAGACGTCGTGCTGGACGATGTGGTGCTTGAGCTAGAGGTCGAGGTTGCAGTGCTGCTAGAAGATGAGCTGGAAGTGCTCGTGGTGGTCGTCGACGTACTGGAAGTAGAAGACGTTGTTGTGCTTGACGTGCTCGTCGAAGACGTGCTTGTTGTGGTGGAGGAGCTCGTGCTCGTGGTGCTTGAAGTTGAAGACGAGGATGAAGTGGACGTGGAGCTTGTGGAGCTGGTGCTTGAGCTGGTAGAGGAAGACGTCGAAAAACTGGATGTTGATGTCGTCGTGCTGCTCGAGCTACTCGATGTGCTAGATGTAGATGTGGATGAGGAACTCGTCGACGATGACGTTGAAGTAGTCGATGAAGTCGTAGATGACGTGGAGGACGTAGATGTGCTGGATGTAGACGACGAGGAAGAGCTGGTGGAAGACGTCGACGTGGACGTTGTTGAACTAGACGATGTTGAAGAAGTGCTGCTGCTCGTGCTGGTCGTGGAGGTCGACGTTGTAGTGCTTGATGTGCTTGTTGTGCTTGTGGAAGATGAAGTGGTTGTTGTGGTACTCGTGCTGGAAGACGTGGACGACGTGGTGCTAGACGAAGTGGTGGTTGAGCTGGAAGATGTGGTGCTGGACGACGTGGTGCTTGAGCTAGAGGTCGAGGTTGTACTGCTCGTGGACGAAGACGACGTGGTACTGGTTGTCGTTGACGTACTGGATGAAGAAGACGTTGTTGTGCTTGACGTGCTCGTCGAAGACGTGCTTGTTGTGGTGGAGGAGCTCGTGCTCGTGGTGCTTGAAGTTGAAGACGAGGATGAAGTGGACGTGGAGCTTGTGGAGCTGGTGCTTGAGCTGGTAGACGAAGTGGTGGACGATGTCGACGACGTGGTTGTGCTGGACGTGGACGATGAGGACGAGCTTGTGGAAGTCGATGATGTGGAGGTTGAAGAAGTTGAAGATGTTGAAGATGTGCTGCTGCTTGTGGAGCTTATGGAAGTTGAAGTAGATGTAGTTGACAATGTGGTTGAAGTTGATAGTGTGGTGGTGGTGCTCCTTGGGTGCTCGACTGCAGCCCGGCGCAATTGGCACAGTTCGAAATGTTTGTTTGTCTTCGTGCCCTTATGTGCCCTTGGTCAAAAGTGCTGCCTGGCATCACCCACCAATCAGGGAATCCTGCAGGGCAAAACGACGACTTCACCGCTCTCAAACTGGTGAAAAAAAATCAATTCATCCTCCAGCCTGTGTAGGTGCCATGCGTAGCCCGTCCGTTCGGATTTGCGGCATAAAGAAAGAGGAAATGCTCTGTGGCGGCTGTCCCCTTTGCTCAACTGTACCAGCACAGGCAAAGACAAGCCACATCGAATACAACAAACGGGTGCAGCAGTTTGTTATAGTTTGTTGAGGTCGTTTTATCCAGGGCGCCGTTCTGTTCTTTAAAGCGAGGTTCCACGGCTTTACAAAGCGGTGGGGGCGCAGCTAAACCCCTTTGCAACCACGTGCTTGCATATCGGCTTTGAAGGATTCGTATAGGTTTTGAAGCAATTCCTCATGACGGCATGATGTTTCCTTCCTTCCATCCTTCCTTCATTTCCTATTTTCGTCCATGTGTACACTGCACACACAAAATTCAAAGGAGATCTCGGTTTAAACTAGCAAAATGCGGATGCGGAGGCCCTCAAGAATATGCCCTCCACAACAAATCGTTGCGGCAGATATTGTGAGATGCTGCGAGCACCAAGGTGCATTGGGGATCTCATACGAGGACAGAGTCGACTCCACGGATCCAATCAATCGCTCGTTGGTGCCGAGGGCATCCTCGGCCAAATACACCTGGAACTCTGACACAAAACCTTAGCCAAGCAAGTGCAAGTCATCTTCAATATAGTCACATGGAGTCTGCTGGGTGCCCACGTGCTGACAATGGCAAAGAGATGCAAAGAGCTGCTGCAAGTTTATCGTTTGGACAAAACACCGAAATCGGTCGTGGAAGCACCACGCTGCCAACTGACAATGCCCCCAATGGAATTTTCGTAGTAATCTTGGTCCGTGAACTGAACGCTCGCAACCTGGGTGGCCGACACAGGCCGACACTACGTTGCAAGTGGCAGGTGCCATTGGACTCAATTTCGATTGAGTCGCGGTGACGTCTCCCAATGTCCGGCTAGACTTGTCATAGAGTGCCACCTCAGAAAGTCTCTCGCCGGTACTCGCGCGCAAACAGACAACGAGGACATGGTCAAGTCTGAGGCAGCTCGCAAGACCGGCTTCTTCGAAGGCGGTCGTTTGAGAAACAGCCTGGGCAGCTCGCAGAACAAGTATGGCAGCTGGCACACAACCCAAGCTTGCGCACGATTCAGGACCGCCTGAGGCAAGCATCAAGTTCAGTGCCAACAGCATTGTGAAGGGTTCCACTTGGTGCTGAGCTGACACTCTAGAATTACCACACCGAAAGGAGCAACTGACAATGCCAAAACAAAGTCTTCGGCAATTCAGTCGTAGAGCCGGAGAGAAACGATAATATCAATGATATTTTCACTATACTTCAGGACAACTGCACATTCCCCAACACACATATTGACTTCTTGCGACTTGAGATTATAGAGCAAGGATGTCTGTCACATATCCTAGCCTAACTCCAGAAACATTCGCGTCTCCCACAAACCGGAAGAAAACAAAGAACCGAGCAATAAAAGCAGACCCGCAAAGTCACCAGGACAATCTCGACCAGGCTTCTTCAGCACGCATGCGGTTTAGTTTAGCCAGGCAGCGGCTCGGTTGGCAAGGACAATGACCCATTGGGCATGGTATCCGAACTGCAAGGCACCTCACTTGACTCCGCAAAAGACATGAAAAGACCAGGCGCATCCTGCGCTGGGCATCCTCAGAGCAAGTGGAGCCATGTGGAGCCCAAGTGCGAGTTGTGCTGGCTGGTATCGTGACTTGGTTCGTGCCCACAGGAATGAGCAAGGCGGCAGCATCCTACCAATAGCAGCATGGTTCCAAAGACGGGGAGAAAAGCTTCGATGCAGTCAATGACCATGTTTAGCACAATTACAGCATTCAGGCTTGAGCTGCATAATCACGCTTCTTGATCTTTGTAAACCTGCTGACTTCTCCTCACAATAAACTTCCGGCTAGCGGCGAGCCCTTGCCTACTATGTAATTCTCCATGCTGACACAGTACCGCCTTCGCACTCGCTCTGATGCATTCTTCGGCGTGCAAAGCGCACGTAGGCCTTATAGGCTTAGGGAAAAGCCTTCGGTGACAACATGTCCAGTCCGGCAGCAGCGAGCTGTCGTACTCGACTTTCGTTGCAAGAAAGTCTATGAGCGCCAGGTTGTCCTACAGAATGCAAGGTTCAACTTGACTCAACGGCTTCTACTAATATCTGCTCCAGGCTCTCGAGAAGTCCTTCGAGTTGTCGTGCGCCAGCCACACCGTATAGCTATCAACTGATGCTGCGTCTGCGGGCGGATCCCAGGAGACTGTCCCCGCGATCAAGAACTCAGCAGTATCAGTGTCGGTAAACTGCACATTGCCTCAGACCATGGTTGAATGTCACTTCCAGCAAGCATTCCAAACCTCTGGCTCTGTACCCTCCCGAATGAAAGCCCACAAGAAAGAGAAGAGTAGGCAAAACCCCGCCACATGCCCCCCGTTTGAAGTGATGCAGTACGAAAACGACAGACGAAGATTGACGCGGCATGATGGGTTGAGCATCTAAGTTAGGTGACTAACACACAGCCACAGCCACGGGAGGACAGCGATGAGGGCACGGCTAGAAGCTGAGCTTACGCACTTGTACCGTGCAAAAACGCAACACAGGGCGCTCTGACGGCCTGAACAAAACACACATGCCGAAGATAGCCCAGACGGCCGAGGAATGCCACATTGTGGATATCACCGGTCCCTTAATCACAGACCCCCAATGCACACGAGCTGCGGACTCATGGCCCGGTTTCAACTCTTAAACCTCCCCAAACCTCCGTGAGATTATGTACACCCATGTGAACCGATGAGCACCCACCTGGCCACAGCAAAGGGGGCAGGTTGGCTGCAGCACGCCATTTAACAAGGCAAGTGTTGCAGCTGACACTTTGAAATCCATGCGTTGTATCGGATCTGAGTGACAGCCCAGATATTGCAGGCAAGTTGCTCACCCCACCACCCTCGCAGCAGGTGAAGCACAATACACTCAGGAGGAGGGAACACCTGAAAACATCTGAAAACAGAAGCTGCACAAGTACGGCTCCACAGCGCTGGCACCTAAACTTGCGGTGCTGCTTGACACTTTGCGTTCATGGCCGACGCTGGCCTCACAAAGGCATGACAACCCGTCACAGGCCTCATCCACGCCGAATTCAACATCGCACGGCATCGGTGCTAAAATGAATCGGCCGGTCTACAGGTCTAGGGCCTTGTAGGCACTTGTAAGCCATCGTGTGACAGGAGAACTTAAGTCAATCCCTCGATCTTGCCACAGAGGCCTACTTAGAACTGGCGCTGCGATCCATGATTGCCAAACTTGATGTTAACCCACTGTTAGGCCGCTAGGCCGTATGCTGATCCATGGCTTAGGCATGCTGAGGCTCAACCATTGACCACCACCACCTCCACCCACCACGAATGCTCAACTAACCCAAAATACTTCAGTTCACAATAGAACGGCTGCAAAGTCGAGAGAACTCTGTGCGTGACAACAGTCTGAATCTTGCACAAGCATCATGCCAGGACTAAAGACACATTCTGAATCTTGACTGCGAAGGTGACTGGTTTCTCTTTTTGTTCTCGTCTCTCATCCGTCATCTTGATCTTTGGGATGGCGCACCTGCAATGAAGACTGAGCGTCAGTTCCTGACATGAACAGTTATGTCGTGTGGTATACCTAGCTTGCAGAATGGGAGCAGGCGAGGGCTGCAGACTCAACTTTGGCGCTTGAAATTCATCTGTGTGGCATTTAACATTTTGGCCTCGAAAGGAAGCACATTGATGGACAGAGTCCTGAGGACTGATGCAACACCATGCGACACAAACATGCTGAGTGCTCGAAGGGCAGTTGGCAAGGCCTATATTCTTCCCCCGGAAAAGGATGCCGGCACTGCCGTGTACTGCATTGTATACCTCCCGCTACACGGCCTGTGGTTTGTAACCTATTCGATCCCATTCCCCCCTGCCCTGCTCAAAGTCGATATAGTCAGGAAAACTGCCATGTTGTGTCTAGCCCTTTTCAAACTAAGGAATGTAGTCTAACGGCGACATTGCTACGTCGGCAATCAACTGAGGCTGCATCTTCTTGTCACGCCTTTCCTGCCGGGTCAGGTTTGAACCGCCGCTTCGGCTACTCTAGACTGCGCTGTGTGTCAAACCAGGTGCTCTGTCAGCCTTGCCTTGAAGAGAACATTCAGCCTTTCTTGAGGATGATTCAGGGAAGGCCCTTGCCTCGAGTTTGCAGAGCTCTTCGACTCCCATCGTAAGACTGAGTGAGTGAGGGAGTGGCACGACACCCTCGCAACCCTTCTTCACGGCGATCTTGCCACGTACCTTCAGGCTGCACAACAACTCAGAGTGCGAGCTGCACGCTGGAGCCCCGAGGGCGCAGAGATGTCGTGGGTGGCCACAACCGTCTGCCCCGTGACGAAATCGCCAGCAAGCTGGCAACAATTCAAGCGTTGTCAGCAGACGAAGGAGATTTGTGAGGCACCACAGGAAGCGCTCGGCCTTCTTTTCCTTAACTTTTTGCTGCTGCTCCTGAGCTACCTCCCGATCCTGCAGGCACTTCCGTGCTCTCAAGCAATCATTTCCCACATGTCACATGACAGTGCTCCAGGGCATGTGAGCGGCTTAGCGGGTGACATGCAGAATATCGGGTTGGGTATCACTGCTATGACTGACGCTACCTACTAGCCAAAGGCAGCGGCATTCATGCAGTATGCTTGCAGGTGGGTCGCCAAAAGGCAGGGTCGCCAACAGCATGAACCAGGCCACCATGTAAGAAAAGACCAAGCCCAAACCTATTCGTGTCCCTTTGAGCCATGACTCAAGAACTTGTAAGACAGGTAGGTGATTATAAGAGCAGCCGTGCGCTGTCGACAGTTGCGGAAAGCACGGTTCCACCTTCTTCCTCTTCTCTTTGACAAGCTTGAGCCTGTTCGCCCACTCCCTGAGACAAGGGAAAGCGTGCACAGGCTGGCCAGATCTGGCCAGCGAAGCAATATACAACACGATGACCGAGCTGCGGTCTTGGCATCTTCTCGCTTCTCCTTCTCTTCGGAGGTCTCTGTGCCGTTCTTGGGTTCGCCTTTTGATGGCACAGGCTGCACTGCAGCTACTCAGCCAGATTGTGTTGTTTGGAGTTGCTTCAGCAACCTGCCAACCAAGAAGCTGTAAAGCATATCATCCGACATGAAAAGCGCCCATATCTCGGAGCACGTGACAAACCTTGGGAATCAGGGTTCAATGATCATGCAGGTCTTGTATCGTTGAGCAAGAGGACACAAGCAACCACTCATGACACATAAGCGCGATGCTTGTAATTAATTTCTCGAACACGCAGTTCCTCCAAGATGGTGCACCGGCCATGTCTCCGTGCAATCAGCTCGAACCCGCAGGCCTTCACCCACTGAAATGTGTACTGCATCCTTGGCCGGGATGATGGCTGTTTGCTACCACAAGACATCTCCTTGCCACCTGACAACATATTGAACTTACGGCCATGCCGGCAAAGTATGTGCGAACCTGCTAACCATTGCTAGCCGTTTCTTTACTGATATGCATTGGGTTCGGCCGGTCCACACTAACAGTCACCACCAGCAGACCCACAAATAAAAGCACCCGGTAAAAGCCAAAAAATTGACTGAGATTCCTGCTATTCCTGGTGCTATTTCTGGTGCTATTTCTGGTGCATTTTTTTGTGCTATTCCTGGTGCTATTTCTGGTGCTATTTTTTGTGCTATTGTTTGTGCTATTTCTGGTGCTATTTTTGTGCTATTGTTTGTGCTATTTCTGGTGCTATTTCTGGTGCTGTTGCTGGTGCTATGTGACTAACAATCACCATCAGCAGACCCACAAAAAACAGCACCCGGTAAATGCTAAGCTGATAAAATTGACTGGGATTCCTGGTGCTATTTCTGGTGCTATTGTTTGTGCTATTTCTGGTGCTATTTTTTGTGCTATTGTTTGTGCTATTTCTGGTGCTATTTCTGGTGCTATTGTTTGTGCTATTTCTGGTGCTATTTCTGGTGCTGTTGCTGGTGCTATGTGACTAACAGTCACCACCAGCAGACCCACAAAAATAAGCACCCGGTAAATGCTAAAATTGACTGGGATTCCTGGTGCTATTTTTGGCCTGTGTGTTATAAGGCCACGGCGTTATTTGACTGTTAGTGTGGACCGGCCGAACCCAAGATATGCACTTAAAACCAGTGCTCCAAACAAACGCCTGTAGACGCGTCTGCAACGTCGCGATTCGAAGAAAGTGCGGAAGCGTGAACATGCGTGCATCATGCAGGGCTAAGTTACAAAAATTGGTGCTCTCTGACGCCCTTAACATTGGGAAAAGGCATTGTCATGCGTGCTATACGAGACGTGTCCAGGGCCTCAAAAGGCTCCACAGCGTCCACAGAGGGTTGAAATGCGTGATGGGGACAAAAGGGACCAGGGGAGGTCCATGTGAATGAAGGCCAAGACCATGGGGTGAGGGCTTGCAAGGTCAATGCAAGAGGGCTTCGAGAAGAGGTCAGGACGGGAATTCAGAAAGGATCAGAAAGATGTGTTTTTTCGTGGGGATGCGGTCCAAACGGATAGGGGCGGTGGTCTCTAAGCCATACAGTAACGTACGAGAATGGCATCAAACACAATGACTTTCCACTTCTTGCTAGCTGCTGTTGCTGATGCACATGTGCTGGGGTGGCGGGGAAAGGAGGATATGGCGATGGGCAAAGGTCAGCATTGGACACAAGCATAGGAAAGCGCAGGGGCCTTAGGGCCTTCCGGGCCTTCCGGCACTCTGCAGCCTACCTCGCCCTGGACCCCAACTTTTCCTTCGTCTTTGGTGCTTCCCGTGGGGACATTTTACCTGGCGACTGCTCCTTTCTGCACGAGGGCAGAAGCATTGTCTGTGGTGTGAGGCTCTCAGTGTGCTAGCCAGGGGCTCTGACATTCCGGTTCCTGGCAGTTCCTCCTGTTGCAAAGCTTGCTCTAGAGGATCTGTTCACCATGCACCGGAGTGGGCTCGGCTGCGGATTTCGCGTACAAAACTGGAGTAGGACAGATACGTAGTGATGTCTGATGATGTACTGTTGAACTCACGCGATGTTTGCGGGCGATGACCGCAAACATTGCTGGCAGCGCCATTCAAGATCAGCTCAAACGTTTAGATTTAGATCGGAATCTTGTGGAAGGGCCGTGATGTGAGGACTGGCGTAAGGTGCCAGCAAAGACTCTGGAAGCGTGCACACCTTGCATGCAAGTTGCAGCACACCAGCGAAACTTGAAATTTGACATGAACTGACCTAAAGCTACAAGTGCAATTCTCGAAGGGTCCGTGCCACTTACACTTCACTTGCTCTGAAACAGCACAGCGCCAGGAGCCGGACCGGTACTGAGATTGTGTCGCTGTCAAGCAGCCATGGCTTCATTGCCTTAGCGCCACTCTTTCTACGACTATTCATTGCTAAGCGGCTTCTTTTCTCGACACCACATGTATTGACTATTGACCTCATGCCACAATTCCAAAACAGCCAAAGGCCACTTCATCCAATGCTGAGCATCTGGCGCCGTTGTAGTGTAGAATCTTTCCCGTGCTGCTGCAAAGCACTACCTGAATGAAACTGTTGCCGAAAAGCTTCGAGCTTGCTATGTTCAGCTGATATTTTCCTTTGCCGGCTTGACTTTCTGGTGGTCAATCCTTAAGCTGTGGATGCCAATTCAGGGGGCCATCTCGGCCATCTCAGTCGTGAAAGATGTCATTCGAAAAACTTTTCGAATCACAGAGACAATCCCTGAAAAAACAGAAATCCAAGCCCAAAGAAATCCAGTGCCCTCTGTGACATTTCTCTCCTCTTATTGAGAGCTCTCCAAGAAGATTCTCGCTGCGCGCTGGCAGCGGACGTTTTTCGGTTTTCCCCAATCACATGACAGCCAGGCAGTGTTCAGACTCCGAGGCTAGCACGTATGGGTTCAAACCAAGACCAACTGGCTCCACCTCTGTCGCTGCAAAATGTTGCACACTTGTACGTAGCGCCGGCACTTCCTTTTGTCTCTTAGAGTCGGGTGAGCTGCTGTCAAGTAGCTTCCGAGCAGCATCTGACAAGTCTGAGGAGCTTAGCTGAAAACAAAAGTTGTTTCACGCCCCCTTCGAAAAACACTTAGGTCCCGGCGCGGAGTTCCTCTAGATGCTCATCTTCGAACCTTGAAGAAACTTTGAAGAGGACAGCTCGCAATTTTTGGGAAAGAGTCGGGATCCTCCTGCGCGCGGGTCTACTCGCAAGAGGCTGCTGAACGTTGCAGATCAGCTGCCGACCCGAGATTCCGGAGCGTCGCCGCCTGCAATTGGCTCTATTGGCCCCCAATTTGAGTGTGGCTGTTGTTTTCACTTTGCATGGTTTTGAGGCTGTGGTCTTTGTTTCCTGTGTGCGTTTTGGCAGAGCTCCGTCAAACAGCGCCAGGACCACCTCGGCCGGGATCATGGAATGGCGCCCCAAGCTGTTGCAATTCCACTCCTCGGAAGTGCAAGCCCTACACTTCCTGCAAAAACTTGCATTGTTCCGCATGCTTGACAAATGGGGGGCGCAAGCAGTGGCGGGAAAGGTTTATAAACGCTATGCGGCGCAAGCACTGCTTTTGCCACGTGGTTCTACCACACTGCCCAAATTCGCTTTAACCCAGGTCCTTACACAAAGAAGGGTCCGTTCTTCGGTGTGTGACAACGCTGGGAATTTCCCAGGAAGAAGCTCGTACCACAGCAATGCCAAAATTCGAGCTGATCAGCTGCGGCCAGGCTTCGCTTGATAGGTTGACAGCGCCGAGTTGGGTGAACAATCGGCTGTGGTATGTAGAATTTCTTCAAGGAGCCGGAAAATAACTGAAACCCCCCCCCTATTAAGCCACATAGAGTTTCTATGGACAGGCAGGAATGGAGTTTAGTCTCGAGTCTTTTCTGGCTTCAGATTCAAGAAGGACGTTAAACAGGGCTGATGGCTTCAAGTTTCAAGTCGCGCGCACGGAACTTCAGTTTCATGTGCGTCAGTCATACGACTAGTATGGCTGACGATGAAGGTTCGAGGCTTACATAAAAGTCTCCCCCACCTTACATCTTACATGAGGAAAATGTTGAACTCTACATTCTTGCCGAGCTACACCTTTCATAGGACCCACATTCAACGAAGGATCCGTTCGGCGGTGCGCGACTGCGTTACTTTTGTAAATTGTCTTGCGGAACTCCAAGTGTTGCAAATGTTGAAGCAATCCGGACACATCTTGGAACCGGCTGATGAGTCAGCAATACTTTCCTTCATGGGCACGCGTGCTCGCTTATTTTACAAGCAGTCAAGGAGCAAGAGCACCGTGGGGATGAGTCTTGTTGCTTGTAGCCACAATGGCATGCGCTATACGGATTTCCAACCCATACGATACAATCACGAAATCCGCACTCCACATGTCGCAGAGGCTTGCAATGTCGTCACTTGCCAAACACAGAACAGCGCAGATTTGGGGTCGAAGGGCATCTGAAAGGCGCGTGTAGTTCCCATTCATCGCCAGCAGCCAAGGTGGCTGCGACATGCCACCCACCTGGGCAGCGAAACAAGAAGCCTATATTCTCGAGTGAACGCGCTTTCCTTTGTGAACGCTTTTTCCAGCGAACACTTGGGCCGCAGAGCCCAAAGATCGATTTCAGAAGAGCGATACACATCCTTGGCATTGGACACGGCTCTGCACTCTGCAGCACTCCACTCCTCTGACCATCAAGCTAAATTTTAAGTGCCCCGAGTTCCTCACAAGCCAATTTTCTATCGACTCTGTGATCTTCATGCTCTTCCAAGCCACGACCTGGCAGATTCGTGAGTTGGGCTCTGGGATATAGTCAGCAGTGACCTCTCCATACCTCGCCCCCTTTTAGTATCTGGCATCAACCAGAAGGAGCCCACGGTTGGCGATGCAGGAGTCCGGGTCAATCCTGGCAAAAGTTGGAATTCTGTACGTTGGTTCTGCTTCAGTCGTGGCAGAAACCATTGAACTGCAAACGGAGCTGAGCTGTCAAGCATGCCGCTTGGAGACAGAACGTTGTGCGCAGGGGCTTTGGCACAGCACAAACTCGGCCAGCCCGCCCTTCGTAGCCTAGGCTGTGGAGGACTTCGAAGTTGATGTACGTCTTGAGCCTCGGCGACTGCAAACATAACTCTCATACCATGATTGCAGCATTCACACGGACAAAGGGTCGCACTGCTGGTGGCAATATGGGACGGCTGCACAGACTTTGCCGTGCATGTTCATGTCCTGAGCTGTGCACCCCGGCCGCTGTCGTACTGACAAACAACACATGTCTGCGTAAGCCAATGACAAACAGCTGGGCAAGATCGCCGAGAATAACAATGTCAGCATCGAAGTATATCAACCTGCCGAGGTTCATTGACATGTGCACGTGCCTTCATGCGCATTCTCTCAGCTTGACATGCTTGAAGGGGCATTCCGAAACAACGTGTAGTACTTGTGCTGGGGTCTTCAAGTCTCAATTTTTCGGCTTTCGACTCACACTGGAGTAGAGTGCGAGGCAAGGATGCTCCACCCCCTACTGCCTCTTTTAAGGGTTTAAGGTTCGCTTGCTAGCCGTCTAGAGATTGCTCCGCGCGGCTGGTCGGCATTTGTTATGATCCAAGAGTCCTACCTTAGAAAAAGGTCAGCATCAAAGGTTTGCATCAGCCATCCCGCCTCATTTACACAGGTCACCCCAAGTTACGATACAAAACCAGTGCAACAAAGAAAGAAGCATCGATCAGGGCGGGTGGTCTTCAGGGGCCAGGACCAATGATTTTCTGAAGTCAGCTGCCACCGAGAAGCCCGTAGTGCAAGGACCAGCAACTGGGCTCCGACAATCTTCACCAACTACACGCTAGCTAACCTGGAAGTATCCACCTTGTGCCCTCCAGTAGTTCGTTTAGTAGCCATTTTAATTCTAAAGTTCAAGGGTGTCCGCATGGCTAGATGGCGGTCTCAAACGGCAAAGCAAGGAACGCAGGAAAACGAAACGATAGGCGGGGCAGATGGAGAGGCCACGAAGACTTCGGATTAAAACGGGTGCTGCCTTTGCACTCTCGCCCTAAGCACAGTATGCAGGAATGCAGGCATGCGCCCTGGGAAAAAAGCATGGTGGGTGGGGGTGGGCAGCGGCGAAAAGTGTCGGTGGGAGGGTTCGTGATGCGGGGTGCATCTGTCCCCATTTCGTTACGGATACGTCTCCGAATCCCGTTGCGTCGCCTGTTCTCCTATTTCTTGTGGCGTTGGGAAATCTCTAGCACGCGTGCCTTCCGCAGGAATACGTGCAGCTTCCCAAACCGCCCTCATGCCGCACGTGCCGTCCAGAACAGTTGTAGATTAGCCAAGCCGCGGATTGAGAAAAGGACCATAACGCAAAGCTGCATGTTCCAATGTTTTCCTGATCGTTGTCCCGACATCCGAAAAAAGCTCCAGACGGAAGTCTAAGACAAACCAAGAGCAGGCGAAGCACGCTTGGTAATGACCTGGCTCTGGAACGCCGATCAACCGCGGGACGTATCGAAAACGTACAGACGCAAACCGCGGCAATTTTCGTGGGAAACTAGCAAGGAAGGGTCAAGCATCGCGGCAAATCAATGTTCGCACCATTCCGCACCAAGATGACTCTGGCAGGCTTCTGCCTCTCGGTCCGCGCGTGAAAAGTCTGGCTTGAGGCAAGCCTCTGTAAGCAAAGGGCGCAGTGGCACAGAGTGGCTCACGGCTGCATGTATGGACCCCATAACATCATGGTCGTTCTCTGCATTTTCGAGCCCCAAGTCCGCGGCAAGAAGCTCGGCAGGTAGAACCTTTGGCATGTGCAGCGTTTGCAGCCCTGAAGGCCGAAAGTTAAGCAGATCTGGTAGATGTGCCCAGGCCCTGGCGGAGCGAAATTGAACGGACTTGCAAGGACCCTGCGGCCTGTGAAGGTCCGCATCAAAAGCTTCCTTCCCCTGTCACTGCTGCAAGCGGGTGGTCCTGCTCCCTTGCGGAACAGAATGCGGCTTTGAATGGCTTCCTGCAGCTCTTCGTCGGCATGGACCTGTAAAGGAGTTTCGATTGAAGGCGGCGAGTGCCCTGCAGCCAAGCTTTTATGCACCTCTAATCGTATGCCAGGAAGTTGCAGCTTCGCCACTGCCAGGAATCGCCTTGGGGACTTGAAACCGAGATCACAAATGTCACAAATGTTCCATGGCAGATCATGGCTTCTCAAAGAATGAAAGCAGCCTCAAAGCAACCAGCCATCTCAGAGTCATCTTAGAGCGATCTCAGCAGAGGGACGTTGAGAGTTCCGGCGTAGTGACGAAATGGAACCTGACAGTTCGCAGGCTGAGTTCAGGCTGAGCTCAGGCTGAGCTCAGCTTGCCATAAAAGTTCACGAATGCATTGTGGGGGACACAAAGCGATGCGACTGCTCGGAAGATGCCACAGCGGACCGAATCGCCACCACTGCAGGGCCTTCAGTTCTTGGTTCGCTGCGCATGCTGTGCTCGATCTGTTGCTGTCCCATGTCCCATTCTAGAAGTGCAGAGACGCAAACGGAAATCCGGGTCATCACTGCAAATGCAGAGATGAACCGTCCTGATTGGAGAAGGCCCAAGTGTTCGCATGGCTTCTTTCGCACATCACTCCAATTGCACAATGTCCTGGATCTGGCTCCGGTACTGGGGTCCCTCACTTCCTTCAGAACTGACCCCGGCCATCCACACAGCAACCCATCAACAACCCACCTCCAGAGCAGCAACACAACCTGATCCCAGCCTCGGATTTCGATGGTGACAAGACGCATGCCAGCAACAGGGAACAGCGATGTGGAACAGTCCTTTTCTCCAAGGCAAGATCGTATAAATCTGGGTTGACGTGAGCCAGACCTGACGCTGACTGTCGAATAAATCCGGAGAACGCAGAAGTCAAAAGGTCCAAGGGCCAAGCAGATCCCAGAACAAGAGCACCAAGTCCCTGCCCGATCCAAGGTCTACCATTCCACATCAATCCGCACAATGGCATGATGTGCAGTGCTGCAAGGCATGGGCCAGATAAAACCATTGCGATCGCATCGGCTCATGTGCACAGGTCTAAGTGCATTTGCCCAGAAAAATGGACTACTCATTGACTAGTATTGACTAATCTTGTTCAAACCCTGGCAGAGGCATGGTATAAGTTTTGTATACGACTTGTATATGTACATGGCAACTGTTCTCAATAACAGAACAATCATCGATGGAGCAGGTCTGCAATTCCGTTTGAGCTATGGACGTTCAGGACTCTCGAGATTCCCTTCATTTTCTCTCCAAGCTCCCATGTTGCTTTCTTGGGCTGTTGCTTCAGCTTGAGCACGCCACTAGTTGTCGGCGACCCTTGGACTGAGACCGGCACGCGATGCTCAGCAAACGCAAAGGGTGATGTCGCTAGACTCCGCTAGACTATGGGGCGCAGCCTTGGAATCTCGCGGAGAGTCGCTATATGTGACTCACTATGAGGCACTTTAAGGATTCACCCTGGTCACTTGGTCACCACTTGGTCACTTGGGGGTGTTTCTGTTTCTTCGCGCCGCTCACTGCGCACTGCTTCGTCAGTGCCTGCGGCGACTGCCTCGTAAGCAACTGTATCGACATGCATACGACCTTGAACAGGCGACTGCCTTGTCACGAACTTTCTCAGCTTGTATCTGGGCCAATGACGATCTCGGCTGTCTCGTCGTCGGTCATCCTGTCTTCTTTCTGGACCTGAAAGTTGGATGTGCAAAGCAAGAAGCTGCTAAAACACACCCTGTGTATCTTTTGAAAACGAGGTCTTGCTCCAACATGCCCCAACCCCTGGGATAGGAAAAGCGAGGGCCATTCTAGATGAGACACATGTATTTGTATACATATATATATATGTATATATTTATGTATTTATATTTATTTATTTATATTTATTTATGTATATATATATATACATATATATATATATATACATATGTATGTATACATTTTCATTTACTTACTTATGTATAGATATATACATATATGGTTCCGTGTCCCATGTCGGTACCCCCACCCCCCCCCCCCACCCCCCCCCATGTTATCCCCCCCCCCCACCCCCCCCCGCCCACCCCCCCTAAGCCGTAAACCTAACCCTAAACCCTAACCCCTAAACCCCTAAACCCCTAAACCCCTAAACCCCTAAACCCCTAAACCCCTAAACCCCTAAACCCCTAAACCCCTAAACCCTAAACCCTAAACCCTCAACCCAAACCCCAACCACACTACCCCACAAGGGGGGCCCAAACCACAGGGGGGCGGGGCGGGGACCCTAAACCCTAAACCCTGAACCCTAAACCCTCTCTACCTATGTATATTTAAACCTTAATGGGGTCGTGGTCCCGGTTTGGTCGTTTAGGATTTAGGATTTAGGATTTAGGATTTAGGATTTAGGGTTTAGGGTTTAGGTTTTAGGTTTTAGGATTTAGGATTTAGGATTTAGGGTTTAGGATTTAGGATTTAGGATTTAGGATTTAGGATCACGCGCGTCACGCGCGTCACGCACGTCACGCGCGTCACGCGCGTCACGCGCGTCCCGGCTTCGTAATTTAGTATTCGGGGGGAAGCCCGGCTTCGTAATTTAGTGTTCCAGGGGAAGCCCGGCTTCGTAATTTAGTATTCGGGGGAAGCCCGGCTTCGTAATTCAGTATTCGGGGGAAGCCCGGCTTCGTAATTTAGTCTTCGGGGGAAGCCCGGCTTCGTAATTTAGTATTCGGGGGAAGCCCGGCTTCATAATTTAGCATTCCGGGTGAAGCCCGGCTTCGTAATTTAGTCTTCCGGCCTTTTGGGGGGGAAAAATGGAGGGGTGTCCAAAACCATCGATTTCAGTACTACAAAAACGCATTTTTAATTGTGGGTCTGGCAAATCCTGGGTGTCCGGCTTTTTGGGGGGCTTTTTGAAGCCTTGTGGTGGCTTTTAAAGCCTTTTGGCAGCTCTTGGGGTCTTCTCGGGCTTTTATTGGCGGATTTGGGAGTTAAATAGAGGGGCGCCCAAAACCATCGATTTCAATACTAAAAAATCGCATTTTTAACTGCGGGTCTGGCAAATCCTGTGTTTCCGCCTTTTTGGGAGCTTTTTGAAGCCTTTTGGTAGTTTTTACAGCCTTTTGGTAGCTCTTGGGGGAAAAAATGATTGGTGATAAACAAATAGGTTAGGTAAAAAAGAGAATATATATATATATATATATATTTCGGATGAAAAGGGATTCTGGGAGGGAGGGGTGATGCCAAACACGTGGGGAAATGCCAAACACCCTTAGTGAATTCTTGGACCAGAGATGCTGAACCCTGAACCCTAAACCCTAAACCCTAAACCTTAAACCCTAGTCCTAAACCCTAAACCCTAAACCCTAACCCCTAACCCCAACCCTCAACCCTCAACCCAAACCCCAACCACACCACCCCACAGGGGGGCCATTGGGGGGGGGGGTACCATGGGGTGGGGGTGGGGGGGTGGGGGGGGGGGGCGCGACGCTGCACCATATATGGTCCAGTGCTCCCCGTCCCCCCTCCCCCCCCACCCCATGGTCTGGAACCCCCCCCCCCCCCTGTGGTGTGGTTGGGGTTGGTTTTAGGGTAGGGTTTAGGGTTTAGGTTTAGGGTTTAGGTTTGGGTTTAGGGTTTAGGGTTAGGGTTTAGGTTTAGGGTTAGGGTTTAGGGTTTAGGGTTTAGGGTTTAGGGTTTAGGGTTTAGGGTTTAGGGTTTAGGGTTTAGGGTTTAGGTTTTGGGTTTAGGTTTTGGGTTTGGTTTTGGGTTTAGGGTTTAGGGTGGTTTTAGGTTTAGGGTTTAGGGTTTAGGGTTTGAAAGGTTTTAGGGTTAACCCCCCCCCCTGTGGTGTGGTTGGGGGTTGGTTTTAGGGTTTAGGGTTTAGGGTTGGTTTAGGGTTTAGGGCTTGGGGTTTGACAGGGTTTAGGGTTTAGGGTTAGAGACCGTAGACCTGGAGGGGGAGGGGGGGGGGGTAAACGCCTCACACACATAGGTTTTCCCGAGGGCGTGCTCCCTCAACCCAAGGCACAACACTCACAAAACACGGGTTTTGCCGAGGGTCGGCCCCCCCCCCCCTACCTGACCATACCATTGGGGGGGGGGGGGGGGGGGGCCGGACACGCCAGACGCCGGACCATATATCCCCCGCCCTTCTCCTTTTCTGCCAACGCCCCTTCCCTCGAAGGAAGGCTGGCGAGCATCATGAGCATGGGTGGCCACCCGCAGACTACATGGAGCGAGAGCATCACAAACATCAGGAACGGTCACGCCCTCCCTATGCCCTTTCCGAAGCCCAACCAGCACGCAACGGTATGGTGTGGAATGGTGTGGAGTTTGAAGCCACCCTCGCGCTGACTACAACTGGTAGCCATTCCATTGCTGTTGGGGCACGGTCACGGCGACCACGAGAGCTTTTGCTCCCACTGCTGCCTTAGGTTGGAAGCAAGGCACAGCAGTTTGAGACACTTGGAGGCTTGAAAGCACAAACATGAAGTAGATTATGTGCATCTCTCGATTGGCTGGGCTACACTAGGGAATGGTTCGAATACAAGGAAGCTCAAAGTGAACGCGGGAATAGGGGCCTTCAGGCGTTCTGGATGCCCATCCCGGCATGCTAGAACATCCAACGCAACTGAACTGACGTTCTCAGTGCTCCGCTGCGGCTGCGGCTGCGGCTGCGGCTGCGCCCACGCCTAGCAGCAGCCCAATGAAGTATGCGTGCATGGTTGATTCAGGATGTTAGCCTTCTTTCCGTCCTTACTGCTCGTCCTGCCGTTCTCCGGCAGTTCCACAGACTGACGAGCAGCCCCACACCGCCTTTTTGACCCAGTCAACTTGGCAAGGTCATGCTCTGTACAAACCTAGATTTCGTGTTTCAAGAAATCTGCCTCACAGAGGCCAGACACTACCCAGGAAAGTGCAAGACTCATGGGAAAAAACAATCCTGTCCTCGCAGCACTCCCATGCGCCCCTCAAGTTAAGCTTACGAATATTGCACGTCCCGCAATTGTACCTGGGTGGAGCAGAAACTCTGCTGTCGTGATTCTGCAGGAAGTTTGCAAAACAGTTGCATGGCGGACTAGATTGTGCTCTGGTCACCGGCCCCCTTCCCACTCACGAGCACACGACCTGCATGCATCTGCATAGATCTGCATAGGCCGCTCCCAGATTCTGAGGGAGTCTACGATGCGGCTGGAGTCTCAACATGCCTCCGTGCAGTTATCCGTGCATCTTGTTTAACCCCCATCAAAGAATCTGTATATACATACGCAGATACATATATATATATATATATATATATATATATATATATATATTTATTTATTTATATTTATATTTATATTTATGTATTGATTTATGAATTTATTTATTTATTTTATGTATTTACTTATTTATTTTTGTATTTATGTATTTATGTAGTTATTTATTTTTCTACATTTATATATTTATATATTTGTATATCTGTATATTTATATACTTATATATTTATATATTTATATTTATCTATTTACCAACACACACACACACACATACAAATGTGACGATATGTATTTATGTATATATGTATTTATTTATCTATTTATATTGTTGCTTATTCATTTATATATTTATTTATTTCATCTTGTTTGTACTATAGTTACTATACATAACGATATACATATACATAGACATAGATTCCCACACCCTTGGTGTGGGTTGACTGAATTGTCAATGAACCATTCTACTCGCCGTCCTTGCCCGATCTCCTGTACGGACCCCTGGGCCCGTCAACGTCCCCAGTCCGCCGAGTATCCCAGTGTGTAGTGTGTAAAGGGGCTCCCGTTGCAATTCGCCTTTCCTAAAGGAAAGTCCTCTTTCGGGTGGGACGGGGCCCGAAATTTATTCTCAGAGCCCTCAGAGTCGATAGATCGGAGCAGATGCATGGGAGATGTGCTAACCAAGCTTGCACTACCTCAAAGATGATACGAATTAAACCTGAGCGTGCGTTGCTTGCACATGTCTGCACATGTGCTGCACACGCACGAATGCCAAACATTGTGCTGGCTTTGGAGAAGTATCTCTACGTCTCCGACAAGCAAAAAATCTTGAAAGTCCTCAGGCGCCTTTCCCTGCGACCCGGAAGATCAGGTGCGACCGAGGAAATGGACATGGTGACATGGCATACATGGTATCACTATGGCTTTGGAGCATCTCAGATCGGCTGGGCAGTAGCGTCGTTGCTGCAGAAGGCCGGCACCTGTCCACCAGGTAATGCTCATTCGGAGCCAGCTGATCTTCTATGAGTTTTTTGTGAGCCCACACTCTAACTATTCTACCTACTTCAAGGATCTTCTGTCCGCGCAACCCCATTCTCCCACGGGAATGCGGCTCCATGCTCCACAGCACCTCTCCCAAATGGGCTGGCTTTGCCGACTGATGGCACCGGGGCCCGAAACAGTCACCAGCAACAGCAGGCCAGGTGTTGACCTTGCACCAGATAGTCGATGAAAGCAACCCAGGAGCCCGTGCCTTTATTCGGAGACCGAGGCGGCTAGATTTGATGGATCCTCATCCCCCGTGCCTTTTTTGAACCCGTACTGAGGCCGAGGCGTGTGACGGGAAGGGGTTTGCACTGACGCTCTCTGGCTTGAAACTCGCTGGCTGGAAACTCTGGATACGTGAATGAACCGGCAACCTTGGAGGGGCCAGAAGCGATGAGCACGATGCGTCAGGCAAGCTCTCCATTGCATGATCCAGGCAACGCCAGGGACTCCCTGTAGCTGTAGCGTGCTGAAGTGATGAGACCACCCCATCCCAGACGACCTGCAAAGAAAGCGAAGCGGAGGCCAGGCTCACGATGCTTACGTACACTTCCGGGTATCAACCAGCCTCTTACCCGCCGACGCTTTGGATGGTGAGGCCGCACACTTCCTGGTGGTTTTTCCGACACGGCCTGAGCGACATCTTCCCAGGGACTATACTATGCGAGTGACAGTTCATCCATAGGCGTGCGAAACAACCGCGCACAATGCAGTCTGCCACTCTGCATCATCCGAGAGCGCAGCGGATTGTAGTCGTTCTTCCATGGTTGAAAGTTTTTGAGCTGCTGATTGGTGATTGTCCATGAGCTGCTGCAGTGTGTAGCGCACAAATCTCGTAGCTGTCTTTGATTCGAACGCCCACCTGGACAGAGTTACCTTAAACTCATCTGGGTCGATGGTGCCCCCGCCATCATGGTCCAGCATTCCAAAAAGCTGCTCCAAATCGGCCTGCGCATGCGTTGCGCAACGCACAGCGTCAGCCCACGCCCGTGCACGCACTTGCCACTGCACGCACTCTGTACCCACTCCGTACCTCTCTCACTATCCTCTTACTGCGCAGAAGACCTCTCTGCATCGAGGATCGCGGCATGTCCACGCCTGATCGATGTCCATGACCCGCAATCGGTTTTGGAACTCCCGCACTCTTCGGGCGCCATCCACGAGCTCCTGCAGAGTCAGCTCACCATCTCCTCAGGCATAGTAAGAAAAACTCTTCCTGGGCTCATGCTGCTCTGCGACTCATGCTGCTGCCAGGTGCTTTGAGCCTTTCCCCGGAACCCCGGTGTCCGGGAACCTCAAAACCAAAAACTAGACACACATATATATATATATATGTTGGTATAGCCCGCGATACAGCCGTGATTAGCGATCATGTAAGCATCACGTGCTGGATGATCACAGATCACGGCTGTATCACAGGCTATTTAAACTAGCGGTTCCCGGACACCGGGGTTCCGGGGAAAGCCCTATCAGATGCAAGGCCAAGCTTCCATCACCGTCAATCTCAGCAAACATCTTGTCCAGTTTCCTCAGGTCCTCCTCCTCGTTCTCTTCCATCTCCTGACCAGTGACAAGAAGCCATAGGCAATGGGCCATAGCCCAAAAAACAAGTTTCAATTCATGCTCGGCACACAGGTCTGTTTCTTTAATCACACCAAAACTCCATTGCCATGTTCGTGACATCTTTTGTTCGCTGCTCGGCGAAGGTGTCCACCACCACAGCAACTACAAGATTGAGGACGCCAAAGACGATGGTCAGATGTGAACCTCACTGCATCGAGATGAAACGCGCACAGAATGTTGGGAAGGGTCGACTGACACTTCTTGGAAGTAAAGGGGGAGGCGGTGAGCGCGTGGACAGAAACGAACGCAAAAGTGCTGCTGAGCTCGCATCACAGGCCTGATCTTCTTTACACCAGCTGAACATAGAAAAAACATGCATACGAATGCATATGTATATGTATATATATATATATATCTATAATGTGCGTATATATATATATGTATATAAGGTCACACCCCCCCCCCATGACCTACCGTGAGGCCGTGTCGGAGTAAGAAATCCATACTTAGTCATAGGTATGAATTTAATAAGGACCCATTATTTGAACGAAAACCTTATCAAAATTAATACGAACCGTATTAAAATTAATAAGACTCTTATTGAAATTAATAGGAATCTTAGTGAATTACTAGGAATAATGACTTGGAATCGTATTTGAGTCAGAGGAACTCTCTATCAAACGTCATGGGAATGCTATTAAAATGTAGAAAATAATAGGGCCCCCATGAAGAATAGTGGGGAGCCTGTGAAAATGAAAAGGACCCTTTTTCAATTCACGGGAATGTGGGAATTCCATTAAATCTAAATAGGAATCCTATTAATATTTGTCTTAATCTTGTTATGATGAATCCTATTCAATTTATGAGGAACCCCACTAAAATTCATAAGAACCCTTTTACAAATTAAGAGGAATCGTTTAAATGAAGAGGGTCCTACCATCAATAGGAATTAGAAGCAACACCACTAAAAATCATGAGAACCCTATTGCAAATAAATAATAATCCTTTGAAAATGAAGAGAAACCCTACTAAAATTAATAGGAACCAATAGGAATCCTATAAAATCAAATATGAAATTTCATACGAATATTCTGAAATGGTAGAGGAGTCCTATTAAGATGGTTAGGAACCCTTTTGACGTTAATCGGAATTTATTAGGAACCCCAGTAAAATTCATAAGAACCCTATTTCGAATTGATAGGAATCCTTTAAAATGAAGAGGAATCCTACTAAAATTTATAGGAACCAATAGGAATCCTACAAAATTCAACGTGGTTCCTTTTCAAAGTTTCTTGGCTGCCTGTTAGACTTAATGTGATTCCTATCAGAATTAATAGGACTAGGAATGCTATTCAAATTTATAAGAATACCATGAAAATTACTTGAAGATGCACTAAAATGAATAGGCACCAATATGAATCTTAAAAAAGAAAGTTTAGTTTCAGAGGAACCCATTTTAGAATGATTAAGAACCTTGTTGAAATGCAAAAGAACCCTATTGAAAAGTATTAGGAATCCTCTGATGTTGAATAAGAAACCTCTGAAAGTTCATAAGAGTATAAGTAAAATGAAAAAAAGTCCTATAAAGATGGTTAGGAACCCTTTTACATTAATAGGAATAGGAATGCTATTGCTGAGATTAATGTAACACTGACCAAAATCAACGAGCCTCCAAGTATGCTGACACGTCCTGCTTCGAACCAAAACCGTCCACTGGACAGCTACGTGTAGAGCTGCACGGTTCTGGCCCGAGAGAGGTACGAGGCAAAACCAAGAAACCAAAAAAACCCATCTTTTTTAGAGAATGGGGAGGGGATGTTGAAAAAGATGGTTTTTTTGGTTTTGCCTCGTAAAAAGATGGTTTTGCGTAGGAAAACCAACTTTTCCCTCGCAAAAGATGGTTTTCCTTAAGAACACCAAGCCAAAACCATCTTTTTACGAGGAAAAAGTTGGTTTTCCTATGAAAAACCATCTTTTACGAGGCAAAACCAAAAAACCAAAAAAAAAATCTTTATTAGAGAATGGAGGGGGATTTTCAAAAAGATGGTTTTTTTGGTTTTGCCTCGTGTAGAGATGGTTTTTCATAGAAAAACCATCTTTACCCTCGTAAAAAGATGGTTTTCGCAACACAAACCAACTTTTACATCGTAAAAATATGGTTTTGGAGCCAAAAACCAACTTTTACCTCGCAAAAAGATGGTTTTCCTGGGGCAGACCAGACCAAAACCATCTTTTTACAGGAGAAAAGTTGGTTTTTCTAAGAAAAACCATCTCTTTACGAGGCAAAACCAACAAAACCATCTTTTTCAACATCCCCTCCCCATTCTCTAAAAAAGATGTTTTTTTTGTTTTTTGGTTTTGCCTCGTAAAGGATGGTTTTGGAGCCACAAACCAACTTTTACCTCGCAAAAAGATGGTTTTCCTGGGGCAGACCAGGCCAAAACCATCTATTTACGTGGGAAAAGTTGGTTTTTCTATGAAAAACCATCTCTTTACGAGGCAAAACCAAAAAACCATCTTTTTCAACATCCCCTCCCCATTCTCTAAAAAACATGTTTTTTTTTTTTGTTTTTTGGT